TTTATAAAATTCAGTATATATATACTGTATGTTTGCTGTATTATATTTCGACAATTACTGCCGCTAAGACTAGTGCGCATACGCGAATTTCATACGAACTTGCGTTTCGTGTGGTCATCACCCACCCGATGCAAATCGTACGAAACATTTCGTATACGAATCAGCGCTTTCGATTCGAGAATACCGTTTGAAGCAACATCATGTGCAAGTGACCAACTTGCGTATACGAAAACTGATTGTACGACTCGAGAATAGGCCCCCAGATTTGAATTTTATTTTCTTTTTATTTATATATAAAACGATAGAAACATTAAGGGTGCGCAGGAGCCAGAGCCAAACAACGAGTTGACTTCAGCGGCAGTTGCGGAAAATGTAGGAAACTCCGGGATAAGGACAGAGAGGGCGATATAACAGTTGCAGGAGAGACGAGGACAGGGCGATTATTCTAGCATGACTTTTTTCCAAGATATTGAACCAAAGAAGCAATATTTTCTAATAATTCTGGTTTTAATATATTCGTAACACTTTGGCGGATGCGACTCCAAGGCCTGATTTTGGTAAAAGTATATGTAAACGAATTTCTTCTATAAGAAAAAAAAAGAACGTACTTTCATTGTTTATAAATTTTTATGGCCGAAATTGCAAAATCAAGCCTTTGAGTCGCATCCGCCAAAGTGTAAAGAATATATTAAAACCAGAATTATTAGAAAATATTGCTTCTTTGGTTCAATATCGTGGAAAAACTTTGTTGCAGTGAAATCTTGATGATTTGTATGGCAATATGGCTGCTTCGTTATCGTATTTTCCGTTGCGGCGATGTCACCGTCTTGTTTGCTGTTATTATATCGTTAGTCTATACATGGTGTTCTACATGGTTTAGACCAGACATGGCCAACTGTTTTTCCCCCGGGCCGGTTGGAAAAAAATTATTTTCACGGGCCGGACGAAATATTAAAATTGAAAAATGCTAAGCAAAACACTTATTTCTTGAAGTAAACAAAATTTTATTATTAAAGTTGTTTATGAATAATTATAATTAAATGGTTAGTATAAGGTCTTCCGAAATTTGAAAATCTTCGGTGATAGCTCTGATAAAAATTAACAACTAACAATAAGCAGTATCTTTTACATCGCAACTTTCGTCCAGAGCTATTGCATAAAAATTGGCAGATTTTAAATTATTTAATAACTGATTCACGCGACAATTCAAGCGATAATCAATAGATGCAATGCATGCATTGCACCAAGAGGTAATCATTTTGAAAAGTGTTTGCAATAAATAAGTGTTAACAACATATGTAAATGTAAATAAATGAGAGGAAAGACGAAAACTCTTTTGTTTCTTTTTTCGCGATTTTCTCGAAAACTGAGCATAAATGAGCAAATCACCTAACGTTTTTTTTTCTTAATTTTTCGATGCCCAATACGCCCCCGCAGTTTAAACATTTAAATTAGGGACACCCTGTATATACAGTGGGTGTAGAATGTATTCGTACACCGACCAATTTCCCAAAAAACTTTTGTGTGAAATTGTAGTTTCTTAACTTCTTTTTTTATTGTAATTGAAAAAAAAATGTCCATTAGCGAGTCTCGAACCCGTGAACTCTAGAATACGAAACAACGGCGTAACGCCCGCAACTACAACAGCTTCTGTTGTAAGATAGATATAGTCCAAACAACATTTACTAGTATTTGTACGATTCTTATGACGAACCATTTACAGTAGAGTTTGTAACATAAATACATTAGTTTATTGCTCCGTACGAATTAGAAACCATCCAATTTTCAGGAAAGTTCTTTTAAAAAAGGCTGTAATAGAGGAATGGAAGAAGATCCCACTTCGAATAACTAATAATTTAGCTAATTTAATGCTTAGAAGAGTTGCAATAACAATTAACGAAGATACTCTTCAATGATGCGATAAAGTTCGGCTCGCGGTGCCGCGCCCGTTCCCTGACCTCGCAGTGTCAGTTCGCTAGGTCCCTACGACCTCTCCTACGCGAGGAGATGACACTTTCAAGTGGGTTGTTAGAGCTGCCGAAAACTGAATAAAGACCGAATATTCAAGCGGCTTTCAAGCCGAGTCAAACCGGGACCCGATTTCCGAGCCGAGTCGAGTACTTGAAAAAACCGAGTAGCTTGAAAGATTCAAGCTACTTGAATAGAATCGAGCGGCCCGAAAAAATCAAGCGGCCCGAAAGAACCGGGCAATTCGAATGGTTTCAAGCTTTTCCGAGTACACATGTTAGTCCGCCGCCGGGCAACAATGGTATCATAAAAAGGACGTAGCAAACTAGACCCAAAGAAGGTCGACCATCATTTTCCGTATTTCTTATCGGATCTTAACGGATGTATTACCAATCGATTCCTTATGTTATCCCGATGAAAATGGTACCAGACACGATACAATTCGGATCATTTAGAAGGAAATTATACGGCAAAAATGATTTGTACGCTTTTTGCCTATCTTCGTTAAAAATAGTCCGATTTACATAGTGTTTAGTAGCGTTTTCATCAGGAAAACGTAAGGAATCCAACGGCGTCGCTCCCGTAATAATACGATGTATATGAACCAAGGGTGGAACCATCCAAAGCGCACGTGTGCCGACTTTAACCCACGACGGACCTCAAAGGGTCCGAGCAATAAAGTGTAAAATGTTTGTCATGATATATTCACTTTTTGTTGTGGGTAAACCTTACGTTTAGGGGAGGCAGCTCCGATAACCTTGACCTTGACATAGTTGTCAACGGCACTCTCCTGAGTAACACCCAAGAGGTTTTAGCCGTCGGACGCTTTTTATTAAAAAGCTATTAGCATATCAAAATCATATAGTTACATATTCGAACATGCTATCTATAGCATATAAAAACACACTGCAACGGTTCAAACTTGTTCAGAGAGCTTGTATCATGCACGATCTTTACTCATACAGTGAAAAGACGGGGGTCTTCAGGGACCCCCTTCAGAATGATATACATCCCTCAGAGTAACCATGTACACACCTGCGAGGTGCGCTGCAGTAATCATAGTTGGGGGCTTCGCCCCCAAACCCCCAACCGGGGGCAGGCCTCCGGACTCTCGTTTTTTCACTGTATGAGTAAAGATCGCGCTCCCTAGACCCTTCCTAAAAACTACACTAACTAACTAATTAGTATTAGTAACTAGTAACAGACCAGGTAAGAATAATGCGAGAAATCAAAACAAAACAGTAGGTTAACGAATATTGTAATACTTTGTATACGATAATACGTCCAGTATGTATCAGTATGTCACAGAGCTTTATATCTGTCGGTTCAAGAATTTCTGAATTTTCTGGATTATCATCATGCATTTACATGAATTTATTAATATAACGTATAATTTTGATTCTTTGTGGAACTTTTTGTGTGAAAAGAAAGTGGTTTGTAGCAGAATAAAGTGTCCAAGGTGTGAGAATGACTTAGCACTTGCAAATGCTTCTGATGACCGTTTATTTCATTGCACGAAAACGTATTCTAAAGTTGTACAAAATCGAAAGCGATGAAGAGTGATGTGCAATTTCAAAATTAGTGCATTCCATGGAACGTGGTTTGAAAGAACACACATGAGCCTAGTAAAGATATGTCGGTTTGTTGCCTATTTTTTGTTGCTGCAACCACCACGACAAAACTGTTTAATGAATGAGCTGGAACTAAATAATAGAGATGTAGTCGACTGGACACAATTTTGTCGAGAGGTAATATATGGCATACAATTATCATTTTACGCTATTTACTTACTTTTACTCTTAGATAGTATTGTACGTTTTTGCACTAAATTAATTGTAGTTACTTCATCAATGGCTAATGCATAAGCAAGAGGTAATTGGTGGACCGGACAAAATACAGGCACAATGGATTTTCGGTGGCGTAGAGAGATCTAGTAAAAAAGTTTTTATTTTACCTGTACTAAATCGGAATACCGAAGCGCTTCTACCGATACTTCGAAAATATGTTGCTGCCGGTTCAATTATTCATACTGATAAGTGGTGTGCATACGATGCCTTGCGCAATGAAAATTATATACATCAGACAGTAAACCATTCAGAAAATTTTGTGGATCCACAAACTGGTGTTCACACGCAAAACATAGAAAGATTCTGGAGGGATATGAGAGCAAATATTCCTCGCTATGGCACTCGTGAATACCATTATACGAATTACCTCGCAGAATTTTTATTTAAAAGAAATTGTAATTTTGACAAACGGATTGAGACTTTCTTCAAAATAATGAGTTCTGTATATCCATTAGATCATTTAAATACTGATTAAATTTTCATTCTACATACTCATCAACTGTTTCGTATATATATTATATCACAGTATCCTCTATTCATTATCGATTATATTATTTTTATATGCTAATAAGCTTTTGATAAAAAACGTCCGACGGCTAAAACCTCTTGGGTGTTACTCGGGAGAGTGCCCTTGACAACATATGTCAAGGTCAAGGTCGACGGAGCTGGCTCCCCTAAACGTAAGGTTTATCATTTTTGCAATTTGGTGCCATGAAGCATTAACTTTACATTTTGATGCATTACACATACATACACAGAATGTGTTCCACAGGTTCCGACTATTACATATTCTTTTGGACGAAGCTGAGCAAATTTACTAAAACCAATTTTTATAGATGGTGTTATGCCCTGACACCGATTATTACAACATATGATCGACCATCGCTAATCGAGTAACGACCCGATTATGCCCGGTCAAGAATGTCCGAAATCAGCGACATACTTTGACGCGAGGACTGCAAGCTTGCAGCACTCACGCCTGGCAACATGACCATATATGGTCATGTCCGATTGCCAACAAAGACTATAAAAACAATAACACCTTGTAAAAGACAGTTCTGAGCACATTTTGAATAAATTAAAGTAATTGTTAAAATTATAAATTATAAATTGAAGTAATTGTTGAGAGTACATCGCTGGAGTTACGATCCTTCGACTCATCATCGAACACCGATGAATTCCAATTCTTTGAACGCTCCGAAACCCACGATATCCCAAAACCCTTTAAAAAACGCCTGAGGGCACAACAATGGATTTTGTTCTTCAAAAAACAAAAAACGACAAAAATCACAATTTCTTAGCATTAATCCTGCGGCACCGGGCCTGGGTCATTTTTCCGTCGTTTTTCGAAGTCCCATTCCTCTGTGATCGAGAGTGTTGAGCCATGTGTTTACATTGTAACTCGATCCGTAGCAATCAGCTCTCCCCGCTATTCTAACTGTTAGCGACAGAAATGTTTCGAACTTTATTGCAAAAGAAGTAGTTTTCGGGACAAAATATTAACAAAAACAATTGGTTACGAGGCATTATTAATATGATTATAATGTTTGCATATAAAAATTTGATTTTAAGCCTTTTTTTATAGCGCGTATGGACTTGGATTTCGATGACTGAATAGTGATCCGGCTCCGTCGTTCGTGCGACGAGGGCAGAGGGCAAAGATGGGCATTATTTAGATTAAAAAGTTATTTAAATAGAAAATCGAATAAAGATACATAACTTTATCTTTATTCGATGACTGCCGAATAAAAAAATGTATTCGAAGTGAATGTACTCAAAGGATAAAGATAACTTAAATTATTTTTATTCGAAGGCTAAAGATACCTGCTTTATTTGCAGAAATATTAATTTTTGCCAATTAAGATTTCATGAATGTTCAAATTTGATTAAGTTCAATATTAGGATATTCAATTAGCATACCTGCCATACCTGTAGATAAAGCAGGTATCTTTAGCCTTCGAATAAAAATAATTTAAGTTATCTTTATCCGTTGAGTACATTTACTTCGAATACATTTTTTTATTCGGCAGTCATCGAATGAAGATAAAGTTATGTATCTTTATTCGACGAGTAAGAGATAATAATTTTTCATCTTTATTCGATATTTAAAATTTTTATTTAGATAAAGATTTTGCCCATCTCTGTCCGAGGGTTAAATTGTAAATAACAAGAAAACGGAACTAATTCTGTGTAATAATCATTTTATCGTCATTTCCCTATACATATGTATTTTAGCGTGTCATCTTCTAACAATTCCCTGTTATCTATCGGGATCGGTAAATGATTCAGATATTTCTAATAATGATAATTATATATTTGATACACGTGTGTCGCGCTCGACGTCCGTAAACAAACTCAAAAACCGGAGCACCTGTTCGGACCACGCGTCCGACGTGTCATTCAGTGGCGTATGCTTTCGTTAGGAGCCCGGATATATTACATTCCCCATATTCCAAAATGATTTTAATGTAAAAATTAAATACAAGTATAACATAGTTTTATAAATATGTTGCTTATCTCCCATTATTAAATTTATATTTATAGATACAATATACAGATAACAATATACAGACAATATAGAGTTCTCTCGCAATGCGAATAGTAAAACGCTACAAGGTTCGGGCCGATATATCGGCTCTGGCACTTCTCGCCAGTGCAGCAAGGGCCGATATATCGGCTCTCGGCACTGAAAGAGTTAAAAGAGAAATTTATGACCGCGGGCATTTTTTAAACTTACTATGATACTGAACCATACTGAAAAGCGTCTTTAAACTACTAACACAACACCGCAGCAGAGACGACAGCAGCGCTGCAGTGGACAGCGCGATAGCGAAGCAGCCATATTGTCATACAAATTTTTTGCCAGCTATCTAGTAGTTCTTCTACTGTCCGTTGGTGGCGCCAGCTCACTATATAGTAGTTCACCTCCGATCCGTTAGTGGCGCTAGTTTACCTCCTGCGCACCCTTAATAATAATGACATAATAATGAAATAGTATACATAATTTACATACCATAATTTAGATCATACAAATATATACAATATGGTATAGAGCTGAATTTTATTATTTGTCACAATTCAATTTATATTGTGTTTATCCAATTTTATGCGGAAAAGAATCTGAAAGTTACTCACTCGACAATGCTCAGCGATGCTCGGGTAGGTTATGTTACGGTGTACGTTTGTTCACCCTCTACAAATAAATTTCCAATAGGATAATACCGGAACCACACATTTTGCACTTTTCTCGAACCTCTGTCGCCTTTACTTCTTCCTACGGGAGTTCACACTCCAGTTAGGATAGAGCTCAAAGTTCGATGCACGCCGAGTCACTTGTTTGCGTATGAGCGCGGCCGCTCAGTGCGTAGCCTTCGTTACCGCGGCCGCTCTAACGGCACACGCGCGCTCTGATTGGTCGACGTTTTCTGTTAATATCTCCTTAACGAAGCCTCGGACAACATTTTCGCTAACGAAAAAGTTGTTTCAAATCACCTCCCGAACCACCTCTTTCAAGGTGTTACAACATTTTTGGGACACCCTGTATATGTCATATGTATATGTATGTATTGTGACGTGGCAGATTCCCATGTCACAAAGAGGTGAACTCTGTGGACTCTGAGGGCGCACATAGTTGTGCGTCGCTAACGGGGAGAGGGGTACGAGGCGGGAAGTAGCACCTGTGATGTGTGAGGCGATGCCGGCGGGATCTCCGGATCCTGGCAGGGCCTCCCATGCCGGTAAGGCTCACACTGAGTAGGGGTGAAAACTGCTTCACAGGGACGAGGAGAGGTCGTTCCCGCGCGGTGGCTCACTGGGAGTGCTCCCCCCTGTGCGCTGGCTTTGCTTCTGCTGGCCTCAGGGGGGGGGGGGCTGATGTGTGCTCGCACTGTCGAGGTGGTAGTGCCGCGCGGGATCAGGAGCCGGCCCCTTCGGGACTCCGACCAAGTAGTGCGCGGTGAGGTGCAGGTGTCGGAACCCGCACCTGCTACGGGCGGGTGCCCCCCTGTGCGGTATTCCCAGGGGGGTTAAATGCGAAGGACGGGCCCCGGGGAACTGGGGTAGGGGGGCATGTCTTTCGTTAGGCATGTCCCCCGAGGGTACACCCGTTCCCGTCCAGCAGTCTGCCCCGCCGCGCACGATGCGCCGGTAAAACAAAAACTATGGACAACTTAATTAAAAACGCAGGAAGCACTGGTGCCAGGTCGGCCGGCAATAGCAGGGGACGGCAATGTCACACGGTTATGCACCGTTGTGTTGGAGGGGTTACCGTGCCCGGAAGTGGTCGAGGAGGGAGGTGTGACGTCGAGGCCCAGTTCAAGGGCTTCGTCGACACGCGGGCTGGGGGCTGCAGGCCCATCTGCAGCAAGCTCGAGAGGTCGCCGGACCGGAGTTGGCCTTGCTGCTCTCGATCCGAGAGCAAGGTCACGGCTGGGGGTGAACGAGGACGATAACGTCTCTATGACGTCAATGTCCTCGGCCTCGTGCGTTCGGGCCAAACGACGCGCTGGTGCTGACCGGCCGGTGTCGCCGCCTGTAACCCGGGAGGCCGCCAAAAAAGCCCGGGTCAGGGATGCCTTCTCCCCTGTAGGCGTCGGCGCACCGACTGCAGCCCTGTGGGACAGGATTCAGTCGGATGGCCAGACGCCCAGGAAGGAGAACGCCAGCCTCCGGCGGGAGGCCGAGGGCCTCCAAGAGACCCTCGACGCTGAGCGTGGGGAGATGATGGTCCTTAAGAGGAGGCTTGATGCTCCCCTAGCAGGGCCGTCGTCTCCACCTGCCCGGGGAGGTCGGTTCCATCGGTACCATCCACCGTTTCGCAGCGGTTGTTGCCTTCTCCCCCCACTAATCCTGCGACGGCACCGGGCAATCCCCATGGGGCTGCCTGGTCGCAGGTGGTGGGGCGGCGGGCGAGGAGGGCGGCACGCCTATCCTTGGTCCCGCCCGTCGCCTCGGCCCGTATCCAAAAGAGCGCGGGTAATGGGAGCGCGAGGGCGCAGAAGGCACCTCCACGCGTGGTGGCCCCTCCCCGTTCGGCGGCGGTGACAATCACCGCCCCGGAGGGGAGCAGAGGCACCTACAAGGAGGCCATGAGGAGGGCTCGCCAGGATATCGACCTGGGAGCCCTCGGGATTAAGGCCCTTTCCTAGAAGAGGGCCGTCACGGGGGGCCTGATTATTCAGATCCCGGGCGATGATGGGGGCCCGAAGGCAGACACCCTGGCGGCCAAAATGACCGCCGCCTTGAAAGGCCTGGAGGTTAGGGTGGCTAGGCCCGTCAAAAAGGCGGAATTCCGCTTGACGGGGCTGGACATATCCGTGACCCCCCAGGAGGTAGTTGCGGCGGTTGCGAAAGCCGGGGGCTGCACCGCCGAGTCCGTGAGGGTGGGGGAGCTGAAGGACTCGGCACCATTTGAGTGCAGTGCTAAGCCGTGGCGGCCTTGGCCATCGAAAAGGACAAGCGAATTAGGGTGTGGTGGTCCCTCACCCAGGTGGTGGTGCTGGCAGCCCGGCCGCCGCAGTGTTTCCGCTGTTTTGCCGTAGGGCATGTGCGGCAGCGGTACACTGCGGCGATTGACCGGGGCGGGCACTGCTACCGGTGTGGGAGCTCCACCCACAGGGCCGCCGAATGCCGTGAGGCCCCGCACTGCGCGGTGTGCTCCGAGTTGGGCCGGCCTGCGGGACATAAGGCGGCGAGTAAGGCGTGCTCCCCGCTCCCAAAGAAGAAGAAGGGTCGAAGAGGAGTGGCAGGTGTGGCGCCACCTTCTGCGGCAGCTCGTGGAGGCGGAGGGGATGCTACACTCCCGTCTACTTCCTCTATGCCAGCTGCGATGGAGGTGGAGGCCGTGGCGCCAGGGGAGGTGATTTCCCTCCCCCTACCCACGCAGCCATCTGAGGGAGGTCCTGTGACGGCCTAGAAATGGCTCACAGGGCTTCCCTTGGGGTATTGCAGGCCAACCTGAACCACTGCCGCCGGGCACAGAACCTTATGGTCCACTGCCTGGCGGAGTGGCGGGTTGGTCTAGCGGTGGCCACGGAGCCGTACCAAGTCCCCGACCATCCACACTTGTTCGGGGACGAGGACGGCCTCATGGCGATGTGGTACCGTCGCCATTTGGCGACTGTTCCCCCCTGCACCGTGGTCGAACGGAGCAGGGGGATGATTTTGGTAAAATGGGGAAGGTTCCTAGTCGCAGGATGCTACAATTCACCCAATTGTAGTGCTGCCGAACTCGGGAGGTTTTTGGACCGGCTGGGGGCTATGTTAGCCCCCTATATGACCGACCCAGTGCTGGTCCTCGGGGACCTCAATTCGAGGTCCACCGCGTGGGGTAATCCGAGGACCGGCTCCCGAGGCGGAGCGCTGCAGGATTGGGCGGAGGGGATGGAGCTCCGGTTATTAAACCGGGGCTCCGTACCAACGTGCGTGAGGTGGAACGGCTGGTCCATCGTAGACATATCGTTTGCGTCAGCCGCCGCCTCACGCTGGGTGTCTAACTGGCGGGTCTGGGAGGGTGAAACGTTGTCGGACCACAGCTACGTCCTTATGAACGTGGCTGTGGTCTCGGACCCGCCAGCGGACGCCCCCCTTCGACGTAGCATCCTTTTAGCGCCAAGATGATCGCTGAAGCGACTGAGGATCTACTAAAGGGCCGTAATTATCGGCTCCGCCTGGCCTTCGGCCAGGGAGCGCGGGGCAGAAGAGGGGGCTTTGTGGATCCGGGACACGTTGCAAATGATTTACGACGTAGCTATGCCCCGGATCCGCGAGCAGCCCCCGAGGAAGTCTGTGTACTGGCGACGGGCGAGGTTGCCGACCTCAGAAGAACGGCCAGCCGCGCCCGTCGCCAGTATACCCGTGCTCGGCGCCGCCACTTCTTAGGCGGTTACCCGGAGTGGAGAGTCGCCAAACTGTACGGGGTGTACACGACGGCGGCGGTGGCCCCCAAGCGCGCGATAGCCGCAGCCAAGGCCAGAGCGTGGGACGAGCTCCTGCTCACCCTCCGTGACGATCCGTGGGGGCGCCCATACAGGGTGGTGCTGAGGAAGCTCCGCCCTTGGGCGTCCCCTGTCACGGAGAGGTTAGACCCGGAATTCCTGGGGCGCGTGATTAATACCCTCCTTCCCCTCAACGATGGGGGAGAGGGTGCGTTGGAACGCGCCCCGAGTCCGACTATTGAATGATAGGATGAATTCCGGGTCACGGACTCTGAGCTGTCCCGGGCTATCGAGGGGCTCCAGGCTAGGGGCAAGAAAGCTCCTGGCCCGGATGGAGTACCCGGTAGCCTGCTGGCTCTGGCCTTGGGAGTCCTTGGCCCAGCGTACAGGAGCGTCTTGGACGCTAACCTGCGCCGGGGAACCTTTCCCATTGTATGGAAGAAAGCGTGTCTGGTTCACCTCCAGAAAGTGGGAAAACCCGCACAGTCTCCCTCTGCGTATCGGCCGGTGTGTCTGCTTGATAAGGCGGGCAAGCTTTTTGAACGAATCATAGCTGCCCGCCTCCTTGAGCACCTGTCGCGCGGTAGTCCCGATCTCAGCGACAGCCAGTACGGATTCCGGAAGGGTCGCTCAACGATGGACGCGTTGGAGCGTTTGCGCCTCCTCCGGGAAAGGGCTGTCGCTCGGGGCCGAGTGTTGATTGCTGTGTCGTTGGACATATCCAACGCCTTCAACACCCTGCCCTGGAGGGAGATAGCGGTGGCGCTGGATTATTTCCAGGTGCCCCCCTACCTCCTGGAGGTGGTTTGGGACTATCTCCGCGGCTGGGAGGTAGTATTTACCGGCCGGTACCAGGTTGTGCACACGAGGGAGACGCACCGCGGGGTTCCGCAGGGGTCGGTCCTCGGACCACTTCTGTGGAACCTTGCATATGACGCGGTGCTGCGGGTTGTCCTTCCTCCGGGCGCGGGTGTCATCTGCTATGCGGATGACACCCTGTTATATGCCGAGGGGGAAGACTGGAGGAGGACCAGGCACCTTGCTGAGTGCGCCCTAGACTGCGTTGTCGGGCGAATCCGGAGGATGGGTCTGACCGTGGCTGCTGCGAAGACCGAGACAATCTGGCTTTACGGATTGTCTCGGGTGCGGTGGCCGCCCTGCGATCGGGACCTCCGGATTCGCGTCGTGGATACCTTCGTCGACATCAGGCCCACCATGAAGTACCTGGGCCTGATCGTCGACGGCCGCTGGCGCTTCAAGGAACACTTTGACCTCCTGGCCCCCAGAATGGAGGGACAGCGGCCGCGTTAGCGCGGTTGCTGCCCAATATCGGGAGGCCAGAGTTGAGGGTTCGCCGCTTATATGTGGAGGTGGTGCGGTCGATAACCCTTTACGGGGCCCCCGTGTGGCATCGCTCGCGCGAGGGCAGCCGGCGCAACCAGGCACTCTTCAAAAGAGTGCGGCGCCTGCTCCGCCCGCCGCCCTCCGGGGGTGGAACTCGCGGCTGAGGAGGTACATGAGGTCGAGTGCCAGAAGCGCCAGACCCAG